CTTGAAGGTCCATGGGGGGTCATAAGTGGGCTTTTAATTTGCTTCATTATACTTAGATCGCAACTCAAGGGACTTAAACAAACGCGAAAAATTCCCGTCTTAAACTTCAAGCAAACGCCTTTGGGCTTCTTGGGCCCCACCCCCAGCCGGCTCTTTACCTGAAGCTGCTGCTCAAAGGAAAGGCAGCGGCGCTGAACTTCATGGCCGTGCGGGCCTAGTCTAACTGTTGCGGTACCCCAGTGGATAATGGCCAACGTAAGGGTAAAAGGGCTTATGGTTTGGGATTAAAACGGCTTAGGGTTTAGGGTTGAGGGTTTAGATGGGGGATTTCGCAACGTTAGAGGGTACCCTTTAATTGGGTGTCCCAAACAACCATAAGGACTACACTGGGTCCCCTATTTTGGGACGCTACCATAACGCCATACTTCCGTGTAAAAGTGTAATGCGCTCCAAGAACGTCAGACCAGTTTTCTGACTCTTCTTGCTTGTGCTACCCTAAGGCCTAAATCTTAATCCTATACCACAATCATGATGATGCTGGCAGCTACTGCGGGGGTGGCGGCAGCGACCGCTGCTGCTGCCCCTGCTGCGCGTGCTACAGATCCTGCTGCTGCTGCTGCTGCTGCTGCTGCTGCTGCTGCGGCTACTTCTAGTACTGCTGTGACTTCTACTGCTACGACTTCTACTGCTGCTAGCTACTGCCGCTGCTGCGAACTACTGCATGCCTGCCTCTGCCTCTGCCTCTGTCGCTGCTACTGCTGGTGCTACAGCTACAACGTTACGACAATGACTTTAAGAATCAAACGGGGACTCCACATGTTCAGGGCTTGCCAGACTTTTTGTGAGTGCAGAGCGGACACATGCCCGATGACGATACCAACGGGCCAGCAGCAGTGGACAGCACCCGAATCCAATACCGCGGATTGCCCGCCTTTGGCCTTCTATGCTGTGGAATTGGGGGGACAGTCCTGATTTGAGGTAGTGTTAGGCTCTAGGAACTGGATTTCTTGTGAAGGCCCCAGGGCAATCTGGCTTGAGTCCCCATTGATTCTGTCAGGGATTGCTCACAATGTCATCATCAAAGCGAGTCTCGACAAAAAGGTGCGGGTTAGCGTCTTTGCCTAGACGCTGGATCTCCTACCTTTGTGAGATATGCCCGATCAAAGTGTAGGACGCAAATCAACACGAAGGATACACAGAGTCCAGGTAGGAGCTTTGGGTTTCGGGTTAACCCATACCGGCTGGAGGGGGAACATGTTAGGGTGGTCCATGGGATATCTTCCTATGAGAAACAAGGAGAAGCCCTACTGGCAATGGCATGCCCGGGCTGAAACAAGGGAGTCTCGGTAACATCCTCTTGAATATCTAATCATAGCTACCCGTATAACCACTACCTGAGCCCCCAAAGTAGGTAAAATCATGGCCCAAAACCCCTAAATCTAGTCCAAAAGGCAATGATTCTACATACTTTGGGGGTCTAGGTAGTGAGTAATCCCCAACCAAGACCCTTGACCCTATCATCCCGGACCCTGCATAGCCAACTGCTTCCTGCAGGACGCAGAGCCCTGGGCGCCTCTGGCAAGTATAGGCCTCCATTCAGGGGATTGCAGTTCAGGGATTAGAGTTGAAGGTGTCAGTCCTTAAACCCTAAACTCTAAACCCTAAGCCCTAAACCTTAAACCCTAAACCCAGTGTTTAGGATTTAGGCTCGAGGCGTCCGGATTTAGGGCTTTGCGCCACAGAATTTAGGTTTTAGGCTTCGGGGGATTCGGGTTGAGGGTGTTCGGCTTGAAACAGGGCTTAGGGTTGAGGGTTGAGGGTTTAGGGTGTAGGTTTTAGGGTTTATGTTTGAGAGTGCAGTGGTGTCACAATTTCCGGGGGCTGGGGTTATCTCTTGGCTTCTGGTTGACGTATAATAATAGTAATAATAGTAGTCATGATAATAGTAGTAACAATCATAATATGAATAATAGCAAAAATAGTAGTAGTAGTAGTAGTAGTAGTAGTAATTGTTGAGCGTATCAGGATTCCGAGATTAGCTTCTAGATTCTAGGCTTTAAAAAGGCTCTAGGGCGGACGGTATTAGGGCACCCAGACCTCTATACCCTACACGTTTTTAAGGTACCTCATTGTGTATGTGGAAGATACAAGACGTAACGTTAGGCATCCAAAATATTAAGCCCTAAACCCTGAACCCTAAACCTTGGACCCTGAACCCTAAACCCTGAACCCTAAGCCCTAAACCCTGAACCTTAAACCCTAAGCCCTAAACCCTGAACCCTAAACCCACAACCCGAAGCCCTAAACCCTAAGACCTAAATCCTGAACCCTAAACCCTGAACCCTAAAGATTCTAAACCCGCAGGGGTCGAGGTGGTGTTAGGGTTTAGGTTTCCGCCTCTCCTGTGTAGGGTGTCGAGGCTTGGGGGGTTTTGGGTTTAGGGTTAGGGGTTTCGGGTTTAGGGGTTCAGCGTTTCAAGTTCAAGCATTCATTCCAAGAACAGTTGTCTCAAGTCATAGAAGAATGCCCACCCGCCCATTGGGTCCCACAACACTAAGAAAATATATCGCCTTCAAAATATTTCAACTCTTCTAACACACGTTCCCCTGTATAACCCTAGAGCATCAACATTGAACCGAACCCTAACACCCGAACCCTAAATCCTGAACCCTGAAGCCCGAACCCTAACGCCCGAAGCCTAAAGCCAGAACTGAAACCAGAGCACTCGAACCAGAACCCTCGAACCAGGACCCTAGAACCAGAACTCTAGAGCAAGAACCGTAGAGCCACAGCCCGACAGATAGAACCGAGCGCAAACCCTAGAGCCAAAACCCTAGAACCAGAACCCTAGAGCCAGGACTCTAGAGCCATAATCCTTCAGCCAGTACCCTTAAGCCAGAACCCCAGAGCAAGAACCATAGAGCCAGAACCGTACAACCCCAGAGCCAGAACCCTGAGCCAGAATTCGTCAGCCAGCACCATACAGGTTAAAGTTTGGAGCCAGAACCCTCGAGCCACACCCTCGGGCCCGAACCCGAGAGCTAGAACCCGAGAGCCAGAACCCTAGAGCCAGAACCGTAGAGCCAGAACCCTAGAGCCAGAACCCCCAAGCCAGACTGGGCCTGGAGGCCGGAAAAGGCCCTGAACTTGCCCGCGAAATCTTGCGAAATCTTGGCCTGCAAGCCTGGGACAACGGCCTTGCCCGCGAAATCTTAGCCCTGGAGGCCTGAAAAATAGCCTCTTTGCTCTGAAGGCCTGGAAAAACGGCCCTGCCCGAAATCCTGGCCCTGAAAAACCTGAAAAATGGCCTTGCCCACGAAATCTTGGCTCTGAAGGCCTGAAAAACGGCCTTGCCCGCGAAATCATCAACATGTAAATTATTATATGAAAGAGAGGTTTAGGGTTCAGGGTTCAGGAGTGCCGTCAGCCCGCCTTTGAGCAAATGGGGCAACAGAAAAACCCAAAAAGTCCCATCAGCCCCATGAGCATTGAAAACTTGTGTTTTAACCAAAATTGCCGCTGAGCTAAAGATCAACATCAAAAAGAGGAGAGCACCAGGTTGTATCTACAAACTTTTTGTTTAGTGTACCGCAAGGCCGCGCTCGTGGACCTGGGACTTATAGGGAACATACAACACGTGGCGAGCAAAGGAAGAAAAAGGGTTAGAAGCGTTGACTCAAAACGGGTTTCGGGAGGCTGGGTTGATGCCAAACACATGGAGTAGGTGGTGCCATGCCAACCGCCGCCTCCAGCCACTAAACCCTAAACCCTACGGATTGCTTCGAAACCTGTATACAGTAAATAACCCAAGAACTGAAATAGAAGTAGAAAACTAAAAGCAACCATGGTACCATGGTAGCGGCAGAAGTAGGAGAAGCAGGAGTGCAGTAACAGCACATATCCCTCCAACCGTAAGGCTGAATATAGAAAATATTGAGACAATGGAAAAGAAAATGGAAACTACTATAATATAATGAAGGGGTATAAGGGTTATTTTGCGCTATATTGAGGTTGTATAGGGATATTACCCTCATTGGGCTTCAGCAACGTGATTCCTACTTCTCCACCACGCGCCGGCCCGATCCGATTGTCCATGGCCCTGAACATGGATCCAGACTCACACTGCCAAGGGATTAGAATCCAGAAAAAAAAACGACGGGAACTGCCACGGCTACCGTGACTCTCGAAACGGAGCGAAGCGGAAAGTGAGGAAGGAAGGAAGGAAGGAAGGAAGGAACCAAGCTCAGAAGAATGAAAGACCAAAGCTTGGATCCACTCTTCTAGGATCCTTCCTATAGGGGTTGGAATTACAAAAGAGCCTCTCACGTGTTACGCATGTCTGGCGGTTCACGGCAAAAGCTATAGCCACAACGTTTATGGCTCTCTTTTCCTAACAGCTATGAGTGCGAAAAATGCCAATGCCCATACCAATCCTTCGGCCCAAACACGTACCCCTCCCATGCATATTACGAATCAGAGGTCGTAGCTGTGGGTTTCCCTCCTAAACCCCACACCCTAGAACTGGCAACTTGGGAAGGAACTTGTGGAGCACTACTACCATCCCAGATTCGCGGCCTATGTCAAACAACCCTGAACCCTAAACAAATCCTGAACCCTGCTCCTTCGATGTCCTAAGCTCATAAAAAAAAGCTGTTAATAAGATGAGCTATAGTCTAAGCTCCTTACAGAAGGTTATAGAGGGGACGAATTACTATCAGGGTTATTGAGGGGGATAGTGCAAGTTTAGACTATGGCTCAAATGATAACGGCAACTCTCAATGCCTAGTTTCAAAATCGAAAAAGAACACTACGGATGCTGTAATGATGGCGTACTACAGGGCCTAAATAATTACAAAAAAATCATTTCGAGGTCCATTTGAGGTACCATAGACCATAGTTATATAAGGAATATGGAGCCATAATATTGGCAATTATCCCTAAACCCTCAAACCTAAAAATTTTGGTAAGTATTTAGGCCCCTATATTACCGGCATCCCAGCCTCGTGCACAACCTCCAGCAACGGAGCATCGCCCTGGTTTCGAATCCTCTCTTCATTGAACTTGCCTCGAAGACTCAGCACTATGACGTTGAGCTCTTGATGCAAACGAACCCAAATCTTAGCAATGAGCCCTCCGTTTTTTCCACGTATCATGTTCGGTCTGGTGCAGTTGCTTCGACTTCTTACTGGCCACCAAGCTTTTGAGGTTTGGGATTCAGGGGTGTGCAGCGTTGGTCAGGTTCCAACGCATGGCGGCTTAAGGTTTAGGGCACCAAACTGATGAAATGACAACGTCTGCTCCCAGTCAAGCTAACGGATGAAGTAGCCGATGTCTAGTTGCTTCTTTGCTGGGAATCATTGTTTGCATTCCACGGTTTTCCATGGTGAAAAATGGCTATGGCAAGAATCCTTCAGGCACCGGACCGGCCAAAATTGCATACCGATATACCAAAAGAAGCTATCACGGCCTGTGCAGAAGCAGATGCTTGTAGAATTGTGTCACAGGAGCGCGAAAACAATTATGCGCAATTCTACGCGCGGCCCATTTGACAACCTTCCATGTGACACCCTGAACATCCTCTCGACAGCCATTGTAGCTAATCATCGGTTGATGTCATAGTCATAAGTCAGAATCTGATGCTACTTGCAACTTGCAATAATAAGTTGCAAACCCCCACAGGACCCTGGACAGAATTCAACGTGTCCAACCCGTAACGCACTCTCAACCCCAAGCCGGACCCTAAACTCTACAACCTACACCCGAAGGCCAACCCTAACCTTACACACCCTCAACCCTAGACCCGAAAACCTAAATCCTAAGCTTTAAATCTCAACCTTGAACCCTAAACCCGAAAATTTTGCAAAGCAGCTGAGCGTGAGATGGATCCAGGCTGGCTGATTTGGTGGCCGTGGCCCGGTAAACCTTGGCTTAGGGTTGCAAGCTCAAGGTTTAGGGCCTCAGGTTTAAGGTTTTTAGGGTTCAGGGGTTTAGGGTTTTAGGGTTTAGGGTTCCCAAGGAAAATACGAAGACGATGACTAAAATCAACGTATATTGTAGATATATTTGTCCCAGCTGGCATTTTCCAAAGGCACCTCCCGTTGTCTTACCCAGTACGAGTGCAAAAGCTGACATATCTCTCCAATGTCTGACCACCCTAGTAATGGGTGGGAACGGTAAGCAGGCCGGCTGCATAGGGAATGGAAAAGAAAATGGAAGGTACATAAAAGTATGATAGGGGTTGAAGGTGCAGAGTGGAACAGAGAGAGAATGGAAAGTACGGAGAAACGTTTGGAGTTGAGGGTCAAGATTTCAGGTTAAGGGTTGGGGGAGTTAGGGCCAGCGCAGCATATCGAGAATTGGAGAAAAGCGTATTGAGACTACCAAGGGGGAATCAACAGGGTGTACTACCAGAACCCATTCAGGTATAGCGCATTCTGGCGCTCAAAACTAGGATGCCATGATGCTACAATGCCTTGCGAAGCTGCATTTACTCATACGTGGGGGGCATCAAATCCTAGCAACCCACAAAAAAATACGGAAACAGTCTAATGCAAACCCTACTACACCCTAAACCCTAAACCTAAACCCTCAACACCAAACAATAAACCACAGGTACCGCGCTGAACCCTGAGCAAAGACGTCATGTTGGAATGTGTCAAACGCCGCGTGAATGCAAGCTTCACAATTTTCACTCGGCTCCCAATGAGCGGCTACGCCTCCACTACAAGTGCAAGAGCATCATTACCTTCTAGCCGAACTGTTTCCCTCGCAGTAGTAATCTTTATCCTAAAGCCGTACGCTGGTAACTAAGCAGTGGCTTTGTCATACCTGGCAAACCAAATGGTTATTCCATGCACTACCTAATTATCATATTCCATAAATTTCAACCTAGCTTTATCAGCCATCTGGAAAAGCTGTGATGTCCGGTATGTATGAAATCCCAAACCTCCTGCAACAACCTCCAACGCCTGCGACAAGAAGCGCTGAACGAGGAATCTGTGGCTGGGATTCCAGATTGCAACCACCGCAAAACCCCGTAGCTGTTATCACAGCGCTCTAAAATACTAAACGCCCACTTATTTGCAGCCCTGAACGTCGAGATGCATGACCCGCATACATCCAGGCAGCACTCCGCCTAGGACTCTACCTCCTAAACCCCGAACCATTGCGGCAACGTGGCATGGATTTTATGGACGCGGACCTTGCACGCAAATAACTCCTGGACTCTCCGGGGATCCGCAACCTGGGCAACTATTCCAAATCATAGTTGGGACTTATGACTTTTCGTTTACGAGTCACGGGCTTTTGGGCTAAAGATTCTACCGCGAGGTGTTGGAAATGAAGTTCAACTTGAGTTCCAATCCGAGAAATCAGATCATATTCGACGTACTAAAATCCAAAACCAATCATGCAGGCACGCATTTACTGTCCTCCGTGTTGCAACGAACCCTCAATCGCTAACATGAGGATTCCTGTTGTAGTGCAATTACATAGTGGGGGAAACACCTTTGCTTAGGGGGTGACGGGCTCCGCAGCGTTTGCACGCAGTGTCAGTCACAAGTTTTCCGTGGCCAAAGTTCGAACCTAAACCCGACCTACTAAGATTGTCCTTCGCCAGGCCCTACAACGTCCCTACATATCCTAAACCTTGAGCCCATACCATCCTGAATCTGGTGAAGAATTTTTTGGACTCCAAACCCAGCTCAGAAACTCGCGAGAATCAAGCCTTTTGTAGTTCTATAAACTTTGAGCAGCATGCGCAAAGTTGATGTTGGCCAAGGGCCCGATAACTGCAACGCACAGCCCCAAGCTGCAGCAGAGACTTGCGAACAGCAAAGAACGTCCAGCAACCCAGCGGTCTCAAGTTTTTTTCCGCATTTTTTCCGTTTTGTTTTGTATTTTTTTTACGGTTCCTCTCGCTGTTGCTATTAATAGATTAGTAATACTAGCAGTAATACTAATAGGTGGCTCGCTTTTTTTGGTTTTCGAACGTTCCAAGTGCTGTAAATTACAGCGTTGGCTGGTCTTGGAACGTGTCAAATGCTGCAAATTTACACCACTTGCTGGTCTTGGAACGCTTCAAATGATGCAAATTATAGCATTTGCTAGATTTGGAACGCTTCAAATGCTGCAAATTACACCGTTTACGGGTCTTGGAACGCTTCAAATGCTGCAAATTACACCATTTTTTGGTCTTGGAACGCTCAAATGCTGCAAATTACAGCATTTGCTAGACTTGGAACGCTCAAATGCTGTAAATTACAGCGTTTGCTAGACTTGGAACGCTTCAAAAGCTGTAAATTATAGCATCTGTTTGTTTTGGAACGCTTCAAACGGTGTAAATTATAGTGTCTGCTGGTCTTGGGATGCTTCAAATGCTGTAAGTGACAGCGTCTGCTGATCTTGGAAAGTTTTACATGCTTTAATTTACAACATATGCTGCTCTTGCAATGTTCCACTCCTTGAACTAGTGGGAAAAGACTGGGCGTTTGGAATTGGGGGTACAAGTAAGACTTAGGTGCAGGCTTGGTGTGTCCAACTTAATTGCTGGCTGATACGGAAATATGGTGTTCGAAAGGAATCACCATATCATCGAAGAGTCTATAGCAGCTATTTTTAAAATCCATTCTTTGTTCACACTGAGAACTTGGAGAACGACATACTCTGAAAATATCCGGCGCGAACAACGTAAGCCGCACAACCTTCCCTCACTGCAAACCTGGTGATGACATGTTAAAACAGCGGGGAGATGGGGAGGCGCAGCTCCCCATTTGCAAAACATGCTTTGCACAACTGTCCCTCATTGCAAAACGTGGTGATGACATGATGCTTCCTTTTAATTGCAAACATGGATGGCTTTAAAACAGCGGGGGGGTTGGGGGGGGGCGCAGCCCCCCCCATTCGCAAACATAATCATCCGCACAACATTCCCTTCCTGCAAACATGGTGATGACATGATGCTTCCTCTTTATTGGAAGCATGGATGGCTTTAAAACAGGGGGGGTTTGGCGAGGTGCAGCCCCCCCATTTGCACACAAAATGATCCGCATAGCCCTCTCTCACTGCAAACATGGTGATGGCATGATGCGTCTTTTTTCTAGAAGCATGGATGGCCCAAGAGGCTCCAAGGGTAACAACGACGACAATTACGAGGATCGCGACCCCGACCCCACGATCCTTGCGACTGTTGACATGTTTCAAACTCCAGGATCCGAGGGTCTAAAAGATGACCCACAAATGCTGCCAGGACCAGAGGGGATGGAGGAAATCTTGCACCATCTTGTATACCCAAAAAATTGGGCATTACGACATTCTGAGATTTCTAAGTGATGCCAGATCTGGAACCATAGCATCAACGAACTACAAGTTGACAGGACCAGAGGAACCAGAACTGCCTGGGTCCTGGGAACGGGCGTTTACACTCGCTCTTCGCAGCTTTTAGCAAACTGTTGACGCATGTTAAAGTTTCTGATGCTTAGGAGATTTTGTTTGATGCCTATGCCCGCTTCGCAAGTGCGTGATGACCTGGTGATGGGAACAACCCGACCACGGGACCACAGACCAGATTGGAATGCTTCAAATGCTGCAAATTACACCATTTGCGGGTCTTGGAACGCTTCAAATGCTGCAAATTACACCATTTTTTGGTCTTGGAAAGCTTCAAATGCTGCAAATTACAGCATTTGCTAGACTTGGAACGCTCAAATGCTGTAAAGTACAGCGTTTGCTAGACTTGGAACGCTTCAAAAGCTGTAAATTATAGCATCTGCTTGTTTTGGAATGCTTCAAACGGTGTAAATTATGGTGTCTGCTGGTCTTGGGATGCTTCAAATGCTGTAAGTGACAGCGTCTGCTGATCTTGGAAAGTTTACATGCTTTAATTTACAACATATGCTGGTCTTGCAATCTACTACTACTACTACTACTACGACTACTACTATCAGCGATTTGTTTGCTTGCTTGCTTGTTTGGTGGCTCTCTCGTGAGTTTGCTTGCTTGCTTGCTTGCTTGCTTGCTTGCTTGCTTGCTTGCTGGTTTGCTTGCTCCTGCTTAGCTAAAGCAAGAGGGTCCAGAAAAAAAATACCAAAAAAAGAGTTAAAAAACAACGGAAAAAATACCGCCACCCAACCCAGCTGACGGAGCCCTCGCACGCAGGTGTTACAGAAGAAGCTCTAAACCGGAAGTTCCGGTCCTTCCCTGGAACCTCCTTGACAAAGGGCTGACAGGCTTTGTTCAAAACAGGGCCCAGAACGGCCTTCGCACACGTGTTGTGCGACCTTGCATGTCAAGTTTCGTCTTGTAGCACAACAGCTTCACCAAAAGCCAGCAGAATCTCCGAGCACGTCATGCATAGTTCCGATTGAATTGCAGACCCCGTCGGCGCGACATCATGCCCGGTCAGGGCTGCCTCCGCCCCTGCCGGGACGCCCTATGCGCCCTAAATTGTTTTAACTTAGGATGGCCCGGGCGAGACAACTACCTGCGGGTGCCGGGTGCAAGTGGCCTGGGTGCGCCCAGACACCAGCGAGCACCCCATGACGCGAACACACTCTAAACCCTAGACCCATGCTCCAAATTACCCCCCACCCCTGCATTGAAATGTCGGGTTCCGTGTTCGTCTGGGGAATGTAAACCACCAAACCTTGATGCAATGGATTTGGAATTTAGGGTCTAGGTGACATCCCCGCCAAGGCATGGAGATTGTATTTTGATTCGTAACATGAAAGGTCACCTGCTGGCTGCGCATAGTCTGCAAGATTTAAATCCTATCCTAAACCCTAAACAGAGCTTGGCCAAACAGCTGGGATTGCCGGTTAAAACACACCTTGGACCCCATTTAAGGTTCAGGGTTTCGGGGTGTAAGCTTTAAGGAAAGCCTTAACCGGCTTACCCTCCCATAAACTAGCATGGAACCCGATAAAGCCGGCTTTCAAAGAGACCCCTTTCCAAAGAAACTACCCTGTATAGGACCTTTTTGGGGGATCCATGTTGGTTTGGGGGAGGATACTTTTCTGGAAACAATGGGGAGAAGGGTCAAGCTCCCTATTTTATATTCTGACGTCTACAAAGCTTCGAAGCCTGACGAGCACCTGAATACGCCATCCCCACCTCCCAAGCTGCACACCGAATGGCACATTAAAATGGGTCAAGAATAAACTGCATTCCGTACCCTATACCCTAAGCTGCCAGCGCTGAATCCAGCCAAAAAGCATCATGGGCGGGAGGCACCTGGATTTGGGCTTCGAAGTCCGAGCTGCATGTGCCTGGTTCTGGTTGGAGTTTGGCTCAGCTAAGTACGCAGAGGGAGGTTACGGGCGTAGAGTTTCGGATTTAAGTTTTAGATCATTCAAGGCGCCGGGCCGTTAGGTTCAATGCTGAATTTGGTCTGTGTATCTGAGTTGATATGGGCTCACGTAGATTGCCTCTAAATGCAAATGGTTAGAACAGCAGTGTTGGGTAAAGCAGGCCGGAGTCTTGTGCGACGAAATGAAACGAGGTAATTTGTACACCCAGTGAATGGCCAATACGCAGCGGTTCCACTACAAGATGTCAAGAATGTTTTGAATCTGAAGTTTTATGGAAGTAAAAATTCAAGTGCCTGTCGTCAAGCACGAACTGCATCTAAGCATGCCTCAGGTGACGGGAACTCATAAGAAGGCACAGACTGTGATGAATAATAAGAAATTCCCCCTCAGCCACCGGAAGACCTCGAGCAGAAGGAGGGTCCTGGGACGAACTCGCTGGCTCGTTCTCCGGTTCCTAATCTGGATCAAGTGGAGTAATATCAGAAGCATTGCTACAATCTCGTGTAAGATTGCGCGCTTCAACTGAGAGGCGAATGAGTGTGTTGCAACAGAAACGACTGCGCAAACAGTGTGTCAGCGCGGCGACAAATCGTTGGCTTGCCAAGTGAGCCCAGGGAACAGCGGGAGTTGCGTCATGCATGCAATGCTTACAGCCTCGTGGTTCTGGGGTTGTCTGAGCATGAGAATCTGCTGAATCCACGCAGACCGCACAGAACATGTACCAGGAATGCACAGATTGCTGGAAAGGGGGCAACTGTGTAGAAAAGGTGCTAGGTCAATAATGGCGTCAACACAATTGGAAATGGCAATTATACTGGCATTAGCCCAAAACATGCTGTTTGTTCTAATGACAGCAAATTGCTCATGATCTCTTGCAGCCGTTTCTACGAAGTTCCACTCATTGATGGATAGCCCAAGTGGAAGATGGCGGAAGGGCAAATTCTGCAGGAAAGAAGGGTAACCATTTGGCTTGTCCAAGCTCGTCATCAGCAGGCATGATGCTGTCAGGATCAGACAGGAGAGCACGCGAAACTTATAGGCAGCCATGCATAGAAAACACTCAGTATATACCCTATTATAACCCCATTATACTACAGTAGCTTCCATTTTCTGTTCCATTATCCCGATATTAGCCCTAAATCCCAACCAGTAAGTAAGGAAAGGTGCGGCTTGACCACTCACTTGGACAAAGATAGCAAGAGCCTGCGTCCAGGCCTTCATGGGCTGAGCGTTTTCGTGTCTGCAGAAAGTAGCACGTATCCAAAGGAGGAAACTAATGGGAGGACCTGCAGCCTAGCTCCCCATCTCTCAATGGCAATCCGCGTGCACCGGGGCATCCCAGTTAGTGGTACAAGAGCCGCATGCGGCAATGGGATCTTTGTTTCAGAACGGATTGTTGGTCATGGAGACGTGACTATCACTCGGGTGGTTGTCAAAATTATGGTCCCTTTAGATGCCGTATTAGAAAAGGGATCCAAAAAGGGACCATAATTTTGACAACCACCCACTTGGATTTGATTCCGTACCAAGAAAATCCGGAGGGAGTAACTCTTACAATTGGAATTTCCGTTAATCTCCATCTATTCAAATAGCTATTCCGATGCCAAGTTTGTATGTGCTTCCGTGAAGTGTTGAGCATTTCGGGCATGCCTCATGTGAAAATACGCGCAGTTTTTGCACACACTGGCCAATCTTGACGCTGCCAGAGAGCAGGGAAGCTAATTTTAGAGAAGATTCTGAAATCGCAAAAAATCTGCTGCTTAATTTTTCATGAAAACGGAACTTGCAATGTCAGGTGGAGAAAACGGCCATAGTCAACAATCTATGTGGGGCTAGCATGCGCATTAGTCAGTAGTCGCGCAAGTGGAAGTCGTAAAGGAGAATCAATCAAGACTTCGTACTAGCTTAATAGTGTATCAAAGTGCCATCCCACTTGACATGCCCACTTGATATGTGTCTTGGTTTTTGTTGCAATTGGCTTGCGAGCTTCTGACGACTGAGTGAGCAGATGAAATGTGCAACAATCCTTTGTTAGGCTCATTTAACGACTGCTGCCAACTCCAGCCTTTTGGGGCAATCATACTACAGTATATATATATATGTGTGTGTACATATATAAGGAGTAAAGCAAAAGCTTATGCATCAGTAACTCTACTGTAGCTACTACTGGGTTGCTGTTAATGAACTTAAACTAAGTTTCCATAGTATGGGTATATCATCTAAAAATATGAGATATTTCTTTATTGTAGTAATCTATTTTACGTTCACACCCTACAGTAAACCCCTAAACCCTAAACCCCAGATTATGGGGGTGGCATGGAGGCCGGCAGTGATCCGCAAGTCACGCGTCGAGCAGATTTGCATTGGCGAGGCGACTGATTTTTGACTTTTAGAGTTTAGGGTCTAGGATTTAGGACTTTGGGTTTAGGATTACAACCTTTGACGATACTTGAAGGTCCGTGGGACTTAATAACTACTTGTAACCGGGCTGTATACCTACTTATAATGGAAGGCCATTTGGGATAAGTAGGGCTAGAAAACCCAGTTATAAGTACTTACTAACTCCCATGCTCCTCCCAGCTTCGGCTGGCATGGTACGGTCAAGCGCAGAAGCACACAACGGAATCATAAAGGGAGGGGCAGCGTCCAGATGTCTGGACCTGCGCAGGCCATGCTCTCCAAAACACCCACACCCGAACTCAACACAAAATCCTGTAATCCCACACGACTAGAACAGCACAAAATGTAAGCCCGAGAAAACTTTGGAGAGCAGCACCATAGATAGCAACGAGGGCCTAAAATGGAAACCGCGCCATAACAACAGTCACAATAATGAAATAATGGAATATCAACGGCTCAACCTCAATATTCCCCACAATTAGAGAAAGGCTGCTCTGATTCAGAATGCTGGGCGATGCCAGAAAACACAATGCGACGGATGCATAGCCATCCCTCCATCTCCCTCAACCCTAAACCCTACCACTGTACCTTGCCTCTTCTGGGTTGACTGCCTGGGGGCAAGGGGGCTGTTCAAACAACAGTAAATCGACCCTTGAGCACTTGAGCCCTAAATCCCCCAACCATCAACCCCCTAAACCCTAAACCCTAAACCCTAAACCGTTTAGGGTTTAGGGTTTAGGCCCAAAGCCCTAGGGATACATCGCCCTACACCAGGAAAACCTACACCCCTAAGACCTCCAATGCGGAGCAGCCACAAAATGACGAAGCTGCGCCTCCACTGCCAGCCAGTCAAGCGGTCGGATGAAGCCTTTTGGTTTAGGGTTTAGGGTTTAGGGTTTAGGGTTTAGGGTTTAGGGTTAACTACCTACAACTGAGGCGATACACCTACTCATAATTGGCGTAACTCCTATAAGGCTACTTATAACTGTGGGGTATATGCCTACTTATAATTGGGATAGCTCCTACAAGGCTAACTGGGGTTATATGCCTACTTAAAATCGGGGTCACTCCTATAAGGCTACTTATACCTGGGGTTATATACCTAACTCCTCCAAGGCTACTTACAGCTGCAGTTATATACGTACTTACAATTGGGGTATAACTCCTACAAGGCTACTTATAACTGGGGTTGTATACTTGCTTATACTTGGGGTAACTCCTATAAGGCCATTTAGGGGGATCATAATTAGGGCTATGAGCACGGTTAGAAGTACTTACTAACTTCCATGATCCTCCAAGTTCAATTGGCAAGGTACACGCTTTGGGGTTCAGGCCCTGGGATATGGGAGCCAGGGTTTAGGTGTTAAGGTTTGAGCTGCAGGGCTGAGACAGAGGACTTAAGCTTGAATTTTACAAAATCCCTCAACCCTCAACCCTCAACCCTAAACCCTAAACCTTAGTCCCCATCAGGGCCTCCAAACAAGGAAGTCTTAGCCTGAAACCCTAAGCCGTAAAGGCAGGATCCGGGTCAACCGCGCATTTTGCTGCGTTGGGAAGTCGAAGTTAGGAGGTGGAGAGAGCGGTCTTGTGGTGAGGGCTTAGGGTTTAGGGTTTGGTTGGAACTTTGTTCAGAAAAGGGTGACAGCGAGTGTTGGAGTGCTTCTTAGACCCCTTCTACAAGGTTGTTTTGTTTTTTTTTCTCGCGTCCCCATTCTTGGAATAACCCTCAACCGTATAAAGCCTAAGAACTAACTAGGAAACCCAGCCATTCCCAAGAGCAAGTCTATAGCCGGCCAATGTTTTGTCCTACTTGAAACCTAGGTAAGTACATTATACCACGTTCGCATTAGACTAGGGCCCCCCCAAAAGTTACCCCTCAGGGTTTAAGCTCCAGCACTACATAGCATATAGAGCTTAGCACGGCCGAATTTGAATAGGGTCTTAAATCTGGTGGGGGGTACTATTGTAACTTCTGGAGTAATGTTGCACTAATTTTAGTGAAGAGACACTCTTTCATGTGTTTTCGACGCGGCTTATTCACTTTCTGGCCGTTGTTGGGAAGACCCTCTCTAATGCATTTTGATTTTGGGGCCCTACAAAT